CTCGGCCGGCGTGGGGCTGGCTGGCGGCGTCTCTGTGCCGCGCATGGGTGCGGAGCGCTCGCCGGGCGCCTGGGTGCCCGCCCTGTCCTTCCCATCTCTCTCCAACGTAGCTGAGAGTCCCTGAACCATTTTTCTCGATTTTCACCTCCGCGCGGGAACTCGTGTCCTTCTGCACCGTGTCCCGCCGGTCTGGGGACCGTGGGCCGTCGGGCTGGGTAGACCTCAGGACCTTGGGGTTTGCTGAGCCTGGGGTGATGAAGCTAATCTTTTAAATCTAATTTATGGTCCTTTGTATGAACCTGGCTGAGCCGCCTGTGTGCCGGGACGGGCCCTGCGGTGAGCCCCCTGGGTGGGAGCCGCCTGGCAGCGAGGGTCTCGGGGCAGTGATGCTTTTAAACGTACCTGGGCAAAGCACTTCAGTGCATGCTCGGGCACAAGCACAAGCTCACTTCATCCCCCGCATCGCACCCGCACCGGTGTGCCCGTACGGAAACAACCCAGCCACCGCTAAAGGTTGCTCGCGCTTTCGGTGTGAGCAAGGTGTCCTGAGCTGTTCCTCGGGACTTGCCCGGGTGCACCGCCTAATGAAGCACGTGTAAAAGCTTTGCAGATAAGATCTAAACTCATGCAGGGAGATGGAGTGAGAGAAAAAAAAAAAGTCATTCTGAAAAGTGACCTCAGAATGCTTAAAAATAAATTTAAGTGTCAACTGATTCAAACCCAATATATTTTTTTTTGATTCAGTATTAGAGAAGAGTTAATTCAGATTTTTCCTTACAGCCAGTGTGTATATACGCACATCTGTCTGTCGTGGGAGATGCTTTAACACGGTGCATGATCAGGAAGCTGCTTGCAGACTTGTGCTGTTGGTGTTTATATTAATTTATCATTTGAAAGGAAAGAGAATATTTTTTTCTAATCTACATTTTATCCAATGAGGACTGCACACAGAATATAAAGAACAGTCTTCTTAAGTAGAGATTAAAAAGCAGGTGCTGTGTTTGTTTGCTGTATTTCACTAAGTGTTAATATGACATGTATTCTATTTAAGTCGCCAATGCGGAAGGAGCAGCAGCGGGGCAGTTTCGCTGTAAGCCGAGGGCTCAGCCAGGAGGGGACCACGCTCCCCGTCCTGCCCGGAGTCGCTGTGCAAAGCCGGGCACTAATTTTGTTTCTCGTCTGCAAAAGGAGTCTGACGAGAGATTTCAGAGCTGCCGTGTCCCCGCAGCCAGACTTCTACCTGCCGTCGGAGGAGCGGAGCTGAGAGGTGGCCGCGACTTCGCTGGGACCCCGCTCTGGTGCTAGGGTGCGGCACCCGGCCGGCAGGACGGCACGATTCGGCAGCCTTGGCAGATCCCGGCTTCCACCGACCGTTAGATGCTACTGCACTGCAAATACATAATCACGGCCGAGCCCCCCGCGACCCGTGGGGCCGGGGTCTGCGCTGAGCCTGCTCCCGTCCCGCACCGGGGCACGGCCGGGCTCTGCTCCTGCCCAGGGCTGCTGCCACCAATAGGTAAAATATGGATATCTCTAAAGTTCTGCTTCCGAAAAGGATGTTTTGGTGGTGTAGGGTAGACTTGGCTCAAAGCGGCCCATGCCGGCCCCTGCACCCGGCGCTGGGGACCGGAGGAGCCCGGCAGCATCCCTGCAAGGCTCGCGCTGCTCTCGCTGCCTCACCGTCCTCCTCCTCGCTCATGTCCAGCGCCTGCTGCCTGTGTCATATCCCAGACGTGTGTGATCGTGGGCACGTTGCACACCCTAATAAAAGCCTTGGAGCTTCTGAGCTGAGCCCCAGGTGGATTTGTTCCTTTATTGCCCCTTCGCTAGCCTGCCCACCCCGTGCTCGCCGCAGGGTGCGTGGGTGAGCAGCGGCAGGTCGAGGGCGCGGGTCTCGGCACCCTCCTCCCATCCCTGCATCCCTGGGCACGTGCCAGCGGGCGACGCGCTGTACCATCACCGGCAGTTCATTCGTGTTCAATTCAAAAGCCTTTTTGCTTTTAAAACCTCGAGCGCGCCACTCCTCCCGTCTCTCCCCGTGGCCGTGGGGCAAGCGGGTGGCGGGGAGCCGCTGGCGCTGGGGTGCAGTGCGGGTGCAGGATTTACCCTCTGCCCCGGGAGAGCCTGGCTTGAACCGGGGTGACCGGATTCCCCGGGCACCCAACCACCCTGCCCTGCGGCCCCGGCTAGTCGGGCGGGATGGGGAGGCAGCTCCGGGCAGATGGGGATGGCAGATAAAAACACCTGAGTATTGACCCAAAGGTGACTTTGCCTCAGGCCTTGCAGAGATTAACTAGAGATGAAAAACCGAAGCTGTAGCGGGCCTTTGAACCTTCCTTCACCTTTTTCCTCCCCCCTTCCTGCTTCTCCTTTACAGCCCCTGCATCTGTGGGAATTCAGGGACGCAATAGCCCCTTTTGCAGACTCGGGGGCTGGGTTAGCAATTCATGAAGGGCAGAGCGGCTGCATTTTTCTATACTTATATATGCCCTGCAGCTGGGGCTACCGGGAGGTTTGGCCCCAGCCCTCGGCGGGTTCAGGTTCGTTAGGACACGCGTGTGCTCAGCTTTAAGGCCCGTTTTCCACCTTCGGCTGCTGCCCACGGAGCACACGCTCCGGCAGGTTTAGGGCAACATGAGACCTCCCAGCCCCGCAGAGAGACCAAGCAATTCTCTGTTTATCTTGGTCGAATGCTTTACACAAATAATTATTTCCAAGGTAAATATTGTGAAAATCCAGATTATTTGCTCAAGAAATGAAAGAATAACTGCGGGAGTACATCAAAGTGGTGGATCTGCTCTGCAAGCAAGAGGCTTCCTCCTCGGTTATTGGGAGCCCCGATGCTTATGCCCCCAGAGCTGGTTTGAGATGGCCAGTGCTGATTTGCAAAATCAACTTCAGACAGAGGTTTTTTCCACCCCCAGCTTCGGTGCCCAAATGAGATTTGGGAATTAATTAAAAACCCAACCAACTGCAGGGGGAAAAAACAATAAAGACACGAAAAGCTGCAAGGCTGAGCCTGGGCCAGCTTAGGGGGAGCCAGGACCTCACTCTGCACCCCCCTGGGCACTCGCACCCTGGGGGGCTGCAACTCTGCACACCCACCCCCGCCCCGCACCCAGCTCTCAGCTCCCTCTGCGGATGCGGATCCGTCCCCGCGCAGGATGGGTGCAACGCCCGAGGACCATGGCAGGGACATCTCCATCCTTGGGGATTTCCAAGCCTCGGTAAATAAGGGGCTCGCAGATGGATAACGTGGCTCTCGGGGGCTCGGAGGAGACACTCCGGCTCCAAAATCTTCCCAGGTCGGTGGGAAGACTGAGCATTGCCAGTGGGGTCTGGATCAGGCCATTGTGCGGGGCCGGGCAGAAGTGGGGAGCCGTGTCGGGGATGGGGCTCGCACGTGATCGCTTCCCCGGCACGTGGGGGAAAACGAGCTCCTATGGACCCTGGGGCATGTGAGCTTGAATTTCCATGCACAGCAGACAGGGCCCTTTGTTTTTAAGGTCTCCTCTGAAAGTTTATTGTTATTATTATATTAAATCCCTGTAACACTGGACTGGTTTTACTGCACAAAGCAAGATTTGGCAAACGTTGCTTTTCTTTGAAAGTTAAAATAATAGCATTAAAAAAAAAATCAAGTATTTATGAAGCTTTGGAGGGAAATATTTTACCTTGTAATTTGAACCCATTCTAACTCTTTCCAGTATTTTGTGGGCTTAAAAAAAAGTCTTTAAAAATAAAATCAAATGATGTGATAACTGATGCCATGAAAGTACAAAAGAAAATTAATCATCTCAGGCCATTAACATCCAGAGATCCAGGCTGGGACACACTTAAAGCATCCCGGGATCCCCTGTTTATTGTGTCTTGGAGACTTGCAGATCTCACGTATTCGGTTTACCGCAGGAAAAGGGCTTTCCTTTGCCCTCGGCTGGCAGGGTGAGCCCATCCGGGGCTGCTCCCCTCGCCCCAAACGCCAGACCCGGCGTGGCGAGGGGCTCCATGGGCAGCCCTGGGGTCCCACCATCCTTCCCCTCTGCTCCCCAGTGCATGGGGGACTGAGGCTGCCCAGAGAGATGATCTCAGCCCTTATAGGATCCATATGTGCCGCCGTGCCTGGAGCACCTGCCGCTGCCTGGGAGGTCTGGGAGGGTGGTGGGGAGCAGAGGGGCTCTGTCCTTGCTGCACCCCGGGCCGGGCTCAGCTGTCCTGCCTGCGGGCGGCTGAGAGCCTTTTCCATGCAGCCCCCTTATCGGACACGGAGCGGCACGGATCCTGCAGCCCCCTCCAGACAGCTGGGAAGCGTGGATGGGGGAGGCAGTGGGGAAAAGGGAGGGGGTCCGGGTCTGGGGCAGGGGTCGGAGGGGACCTGCCCTGCTCCTGCCTGGCGAGCATCGCCCATGGGATGCCCAGATGGGTGGCCTGGAGGGACCTCTGAGCAGAGGATGCCTTTGCTGCTCCTGGTTCTTAGCAGGGAGATGCTCCTTGCACAGCCAGTCTTCGTTTTCCTGCAGCCCTGGGTAAGTGGTACCGAGCAGTGGGCACCTGAGGGCTGGAGGCAGGTCCTGGGGGCTCGTGCGTGGCCTCGAGCCTCGGTGCATCCCTCCTCTTCCAGCAACATCCACTGGGACAGACCTCCCTGGGTGCCGGACCTGTCCCTGCAGCGTTTGGGGACTGTCCCAGAGTGATGCCAAAGCCGTCCCGCAGCACTGCCCCAGAGCTGTTGGCCAGGCAACGAGCCGAGTCCGGCACCAGGGCCGCATCCTGCACCACGCTGGTTGAAGTGGTCCTGCACCCCGCGAGCCTCTGCGCAGCCGCTGGTCGGTGACCTCTGTGAAAGCTAAATATAAACCCAACAGCACTCTGAGCTGTTCCGTGCCAGCCGAGCCAGAGCGCTGCTGACATTTCAGCTTATTGGGGCAGCAAGTACCGTGTTCAGGATTCAAAACCGCTCAGCTCT